GTGTGTGCAGAGTGTGTGCTGGTGTAGGCGTGGGGGGTGAGCAGGCAGTGCAACGCTTGCACTGAGCATATGGGGTACCCTGGGTGTGTAAATGTGTGTGCGTACCTTGGCCATGGATGTGTGTGTATGCACAGAGGTGTGAGCAGCGTGTGTTTGCTCTGTGGGAGTCCAGTGTGCAGGGGGTGTGTGTGTGCACACATGTGCACGCCAGGTATATTGTGTGTGTGCTGTGTGTGAGCTGTGTGTATGTGATCATGACTATACACGTGTGTGTACACACATGTGCAGGGGTGCCCACCACAAGTACAGTCATGCACATGGGTGCAGCCACACACCCCTGTACACACGCATGCACAGTTACACACACAGGTACAGCCACGCACTCCTAGAGTGGCAAACGTGCACACATGTACACACCTGTAGGGGCACACACAGGTACAGCCACACACACACAACTGCAGCCACATGAATGTGCAGCCATACACACCATACACATGTGCACAAGTGTCCGGCCGCACACAGGTACACCAACACACAGGTACATGTGTGCACGTATGTACAACTGCACACAGGTACAGTCACACTTGCATACTCGTGTACAACTACAGGCACATGTACCACCATATGTGGTACCTACCTGTACGTAGGTAAGCACACACGCATCCACACCCACACATCTGCAACGTGCACACAACCACACACGTGTGCACAGCCACACACATGTACAGCCACACATGCTTGCATACCCCCACACATACACCAATACCTGCACAACCACATGTGTACATACACACATGTATAAACATGCACACCCACCTGTGTGTGTATACATGTGCACACCTGCACACACTTGCACACCTGCACATGTGCATGCCCAGAGGCACACACGTGCACACCCCCACCCATGTGCACGCCTGCACACACACACACCTGTGCACACTCACCCAGAGCCGTGTGTGCTCACCTGTGGGCTCCTCCGGACAGGGTCGGGGCCAGGGTCAGGGTCAGGGCCAGGGGTGGGTGATCCCCATGGGGTCAGGTGCCCCCCCCGGTGGGGACAGGGGGCCCTGGCTGAGCTCTGTCCCCCCAGACCACCAGAAGCTGGAGCGGGAGGCCCGCATCTGCCGGCTGCTGAAGCACTCCAACATCGGTGAGTGGCACTTGGCGCGGGACAGGCTGGGAGCACGCCGCCCCGGGGGAGTGTGGGGTGCCCCCCTGGGGACAGGCTGGGTGCCCCCCTGGGATATGCTGGGTGCCCACCTGGGGACATGTGGGATCTCATCCCTGGATTCCTGCGGAATGCCACCCCAGACATGCTGGATGCCACCTTGGGGACACACTGGGTGCCACCATAGGGATATGCCCCCCCGGGAACAGGTGGGGTCCTGCTGAGTGCCATCCCAGCGACATGCCGGGTATCAGCCCTGGGACACGCTGGGTGCCACCATGGGGGTGTGCTGATGCCACCCGGGGACACACTGGGTGCCACCTGGAGATGTGCTGGGTGCCCCGCTGGGGACACAGAGGGTCCCACCCTTGGAGTCCTGCTTGGTGCCACCATTGGGATGTGCTGGGTGGCCCCCGGGCACAGCCTGGGTGCAGGTGTGAGGGCGGCGTGTGACAGACACGTGTGCCACATGTGGCTGCCCGGGGGCCATGGGCTCCCAGGGCTGAGGCTGAGCCCATCCCTGTCCCCGTCCCTCACCCTGTCCCCACAGTGCGGCTCCATGACAGCATCTCGGAGGAGGGTTTCCATTACCTCGTCTTCGACCTGTGAGTCTGGCGGGGGAGGGGGGGTGGGGGCATGCGGGCGCGGGGTCTCAGGGTGACGCGGTGCCCTGGCTGCGTTGCAGGGTGACCGGCGGGGAGCTCTTCG